AGAGGCCTGTCTAAAGAGATGCATTACTGAAAATATCAGAAGGACCTTATTAAAACAGCATGTAACATAGTCTATCTGACTAGGTCCTCCAAGGATTATGTTATAGAAATGCTCTAGTGAACCTCAAAAATTAGAGAAAAATGGAGTAATTTATTCTTACTGGAGATATTGTCACATGGAATATTTGGATTAAATGACAATTGGAGAGGTTAAAGATATTTGTAGTAAAAACATTTTGAATACAACATTACAGAAATAAATATGCATTTTATATTTTATCAACCATCTTTTTGCTTATGAGGGCAGCACTATTTAGACAAGCTGCAGGCAAACTATAAAGTATGGGAATTTAGTTTAGAATCTAATTATGTTAAAGTTGGAAGAACCCTTAGAAACCCTCTGGGCCAATCATTTCTAAACCTCCAAGTGTTTAAGAATTATTTAGGGAACTTTGTGACAGTGCAGACTCCCAAGCCCCACCTCAGAAATGTCAACCCTTGGAAAATGTTTTGGTTTTGAAGCAAGAGCTATGTGAAATGTAACTGGGAAAACACTACTTAGTCTAATTTCCGTGGTGTGCAGTAAAGGAAGCTGAGAATCTTAGAGGATCAGTGCCATGCTCAAGGACATACAGGGAAATATTATCAGACATACTTCCCTCATCGGTGGCAGAACACTTGGAGGCTGACATCCCAAGGTAGTAGAAAACCAGCCACTCATTACTGGTCCTGACTGAATAGCCCTGGCAACTGCTTTTGTTAGGAGTTAAGAAAATTAGTTTCTGCCCTTATTTATGTGGGAAAAAAATGTGTAGATAGCACTTAAGTGTCCTTTCTGTCATAGTAACACATATATGGCATTCACTGGGAATCAGGAGGGCTAAATTCTAGATTCAAGTCCTCCCTTAGCAATAAGATTCTCTTAGGTGAGTCACCCTCTGACTTTCACTTCGTGCATTGTTAATGAAGCTGGGTTAGGAGATACCTAATAGCTTTTTCAAACCTTGGATTATGAGTTTTACCACAGGCAAAAATATCCAAACTTCTTTTTCTATTTTATTCACTTTTTGGATTATGAGTTTTACCACAGGCAAAAATATCCAAACTTCTTTTTCTATTCTATTCACTTAATTGTTTTATGAATGATAATAATTATACCAATAGTTAGCAGATAGTGAGTACTAAGTGCCAGGCAGTGTCCTTAGCATTTTACCTAATTTTTTGGACTCAATCCTTATAATAACCTACTGTTACTATACCCATTTTTCAGATGCAAAAACTGAGGTACAGAGAAGTTAAGTATCTTTTCTAAGATTTCATAATCAGTGAGTCAGTCGTAGAACTAGGAAGAAATCAAATAAGGAGGGAAAGAAAAGAAAAGCAATACTGTATGATGACATATTTTAAATATTAGCTATTTTTTAGCATTTTATTTTCCCCTTTGTCTTCCCCCACATGAAACAGGCTTTTTTGTGCTTATGGCCTCAAAGAATGAATATGACAGACAAAAGAGTCTTTTTCTGGCATTTATCTTTCAATTAATTAGGCTTTTGGCGAAACCAAAACGAGTCACTGCATAGATGATTTGGGAGGAAACATAAAGAATGAAGTTTACACATGTGCGTGCATACACACACGTGTACACCTACACAGGTGTTCGAGCTTGCGAGAGACAAAAGCAATGAAAAAGAAGCATGAGAAGGCAGATATTGTAATGTAGAGCCTGTGTCTTGCTACCAAACCCTACCAAGGTGATAAAAATCTGCAAAGGAGTTTATGGAATCTAGAAGGATAGGGGCTTGAGCTTCATTTTCTGGGGAAGGCCAGCAATAGACAACCCAAATCCAGAGCATAAATGGCCAGTATTCTCAATGTTCAGGTAGTATCCATGTTCCCATGTGACATGGAAGCATCGGAATGCTTACCATCTCCTTAGAAGCAGCATCAAAAACACCGAAAAAACTGTTTGACCTAGGAGGACACGTCTGCCATAGCCTGGGTGCACAAATGGCAGAGGACCAGATGGAGTAAAGGATATGTCGGTGGCTGTCTGTGGGAAGAGATGACATTAAGGATTGTTGGACCATCTCTAACACTTAAGTATCCTTACTTGGCTGTAACTTGGGGAAAATCTGGTGAAATCTTGTACTGGTTGAAAATGGATTTCTGCCACCCGGGCAGAATTTGGGTTTAAAATAGAAAACAGTAAAATTTTATTTTCTGCATATTTGAGTTTGCGAAACGATGTCTATAATAAAGGAGCAATAATTCCAAGTTTTGAGAGGCAGTAATTAGCTTTGGGGTATGGTGTGGTTTTGTTTGTGCATTTGTGTGCTTCTTTCATTGTCTTATATGCAGAGAAAATAATCAGAGATCTACAAAATACTAACACAGTAACACTGACCATTAAATAATTACAGTTGCATCTGCAGGAGTTAAAAATAGTTGAAAAACCTCCATAGGAGCTCAAACCATACAGCAATGCTTTTGTTTCTAGTCATGGATACTCTGACTCCAGCACTAAACAACTTATAATTAAGTAATTTCAGTTGGAAAAGGTATTATAAAAAGATGAGAGGTGTGCCTGGCCAATATCTTGATTTTGAACTTTTAGCCTTTAGAACTGTGAGACAATAAATTTCTATTATGTTACTAGTCTGGGGTCTTTGTTACAGCAGCCATAGAAAAGTAATACAGAAATGTAATTGATAAGAAAACTTAAAAAAAAAAAGCTTGACAGAATCAACAGGAAGCTAGGGATAGCACACAGTGCATTACCTCTTCAATGCAACAGTGCATACCTTTTCAAAGCTTAGTACAATCAAAAAGACATTCTTGGCCCAGTCATATCCCAATTATTAGAATCTTTGGCCTCTGGTGAAGAACTCCCCTAATGCTCACTGCTGTTAAGAAAGAGTTCAACTTTGAAAGATGTTGCTCTTTTCTTTAATCCTTAAGGGAAGATGATTTGAGTCTTTATTCCTTATTCACCTTTAAAGAACCCACAAAAACCACTGCTACAATTATGTATACTCATGCTATCAATAGATATTTACATATAACAAAAGTTCAAAGCTCCACAGAAGTCTTTTAAAATCCCCCTTTCTATATCAGAATTACAAACTGGACTCTTTTAACTCCAAGACAAAAGCATGTGCACATTACACTTTCTATTAAATCAATTAAACTTAACAAGTAGTAGAGTTAATATCTAGTGACTTGAAGAGTATCAACTTACTGAAACTACCTATCTAAGATTAAATAGCTGGCTATATTTTAAAAATAATTTCCTAATAGTTAACTCTAGCAACCCTTAAAGCATTACACTAATATCCTTCAGATAAAACTTAGATATTTATTTTATTAGAAGCTGACAGGTGATTTGCAGTGCATCTCATAACTAAAACCTTTGGTGAAGAAATAATGTTTTGTTTATGTTTTTTCCTCATTGTCTAAGAAAATTTGTACTTCTCACCAATAAAATAAAATTCAAAAGTCCTCAAACATTATATCTTTTAGAGGAAAGTGGATATGTGGAAGTCCTTAGGAATAGTCCAGATTGTAGAAAAAGAGTTGCCAGAATAAATCCTTTGCATGAGTGTAGTATCTTACATGCAGTAGGCACTGTCTGTTTTACTTTATCCTTCATTATAAAAGTTTATATAAAGGAAGAGTATTTTATTTCAAACCAAGTAAGTTGAATGAGAACAGAGGGCTTTCTTCTTTAAGAGTACCTCATATTTATTTAGTATTTGACATAACCCTTCCATATGTATTATATCATTTGGTTTTGCAACAAACCTATGAGATAAGTATGAGTTGGCCAAGTCTACAGGAAAAAAAAAAAAAAAAAAAAACTCAGATTATACCGTTGGTAAGATCACCTAGCTAGGAAGTAGAAAAGCTGAGTTAAACTCAGGTTTCTAATTCCATATCCTGTGCCTTTCGGTTTTCTTCCAGGCCATACGGAAGCCTATCTCTCACACCACATCTTTCAGGGAAGTTTGTCAACTGGGTTTATGTTACAATAAAATATAACTTTCCTGCATGATTCCTTGATCTTGAACTGTTGTAGCTGATCAAGGCCTATTTGTAGCCAGAGTATAAATGGAGGCAAATAATATACTTTGATCTCATTACACATGATCTATTTCCAAGCTTCAGTTCCTGTAGTATATACTTGCTAAATATCAGCTAATAATAAAGTGACAGGAAAACATTTTACTCCATTTATTTTCTTGCTCAGTTAGAATGGCCAATGAGAAACAACTGAATTATAGCTGAATTTATAGTTATAAATGTTATCACCAGGAAATTGTTGGATTTGATGTTATCGTTTCTGTAATTACAAAAGAAATATCCATTCCACTAGAAGTTACCACAATATGGGAGTAATTGCTACGCTATTACAGAATAGTTTGCATGACATGGTTATTCTTTTCATACAAACTATAAATTATGTACTGAACATAATATAATTTATAATGAAAAACTTCACATGGCTTAAAGTAGCTACCAAATACAATTGGAGCTCTGTGGTTGTTACTAAGTAATTACATAATTATTTAAGTCTCACAAACTTTGAAATTACAAAGTACTTAGGAAAATCATTACCACGAGAAGTTAAATGGAACTTAAAATAGTTACTAATGCAATTTGGGTAATGTTTTTTTGTTGTGCTAAATGACAATGTCATCATTATCTTTTCCTGAGATAGCATCTAATGTATTTTAACAAGTGCTTCTCATTCATACAATCCTAGAAGCTCAGTGTAGGGGAAAAAAAAAAAAAACACTTAAACCAATTCTTACCCAAACTATGAGCCTATTCTATAGCATTCAAGACAACTAGTTATTGGGCTTCTTCTTGAACCAAGGCAGCCCAGAATTTCATAAATTAAAACAAAGTCAGTGCATTGGTTAGTATTCTTTGAATGCATGTGATAGAAGACCCAACTCACACTGGCTTAAGAGAAAGAACAAACTTACAAGCTTAGGTAATTGAAGAGCCCAAAGGTACTGGCTTCAAGCTTGGCTCTGGTAAGTATTCAATCTTCTTTTAAATATCTGGTTGCATTTCTCCATTGGCTGTGTTCTCAGATAGGCTCTCCCCCTGTAATGGCAAGATATCTATCAGAAGAGTCAGATACATCCTACAAGCTCAGTAATTCCAGTCGAGAAAATTTCTCTTTCCTAGTAGTTCCAAGATAGACCTATAATGTTCTGCAGTACATGCCTTCCCTTGAATCAATCATTATATACAGGTTTTCATGGGTCATGTGAACATCCCTAAAACAAGGAGGGTAGGGTCATTCCTAAAGAAATATTGTGATACTGTTAATAAAAGAAGAAAGAATGAATGTTGAGTAGAGAAATACAACAGATTTCCATGACAGGCAAGATTTATTGTTTTTCCTTTAATAGAGATACTTCTTGTCTTTCCCTTTCATAGTGGAGGACCTCTGGGAGATGAATTCTGGTGAAAATAAAATGGATCCAGTCAAATATTGGCCCAAGCTGGAAGCTGACATCTGTACTGTTGGCATTTACCATAAGCATGCCAGAAGGGTAATTACAAGTTTACAGAAGCTCTTCTTTTATTTTTCATCCAAAATGCAGTTGCTCTGGACACAATGTTCTCTAGCCACAATCCACAGAGCATTGATTCACCAGCACCAATCTTTCAAAAGTACTTAAATTTTTCTTCTGTGTGTGTGTTTTTTTTTTTTTTAAATAATGGTCATGCATGACTCAGGATCTCTGCTGACACCATTCATAGCCCACAGAACACTCTGGTGAACCACAAAGTCCTGCCATACATACTGATGACCTTAGAATCACAGAGTGGGGGATAAGGAAGACCTTACACTCACATGGAAAAGGGGTAAATTGTGTGATGTTAGAGAGGCTCCCACTCTAGTTCTCAGGTGTAGTGAGCATCTGTTATTCCTTCTGCCAACTATCTAAACCTCATTCTCAACAGGCAATTATCTCCCTATGGATTTCGGTGGGCAGTACAGACATCTGTCATCACAGAAGCTAAAAATGCCCCAAACACACTGTCCCAATTCCCCTTGAAGCTAGTGTGTGGGCATATGATCTAGGCTTCACCAATCAAATTCATCTACTCTGGTCTTTGACTAGGTGGCTAGAGATGCAAGGAAGCAAAGATCCAGACAAAGCTTCTCTGGGATTGGAGGCCATTGTTATGAGATCAAGTTCTCAGAGCAACAGAGCAGCAGTGCCAGCAGCCATGTCCAGTGTCTGAAGTCATTCGTGTCCGTAGCTTAAGTGCATGTCTAGGGTTCAGTGACAGCCACTCCAGGGCCATCCTTCTTGGACCCATCTGCAGTGTAACTTTGGTGTTATTCCCAACCACAGAACCTCTGAGCCTAGATTTCCGGTACTCAAGAGTTTCTATGAGCTCCCCATGATCTTTTTGGTTTTTTTTTTTTTTTGAAAGAAGCCAGTATCTGTTGCTTGCATCCCAAAACTCAGGCTGATATGTTTTCATCTCATGCAGTCTAGAAAGATTTTACCAGTGTAGTGTTTAAGAAGATGGGCTACAATCCTGTTTTGCATAATAACTCTATGATTTTGCTTTTAAGATCTATAACTATTCTCTTTCACAATCATCTTTGTGAAATGGAGAGAATGCTATTCCCTAAAACTGCTGCAAAACAAAGCACTTCACGTATCTCTGGAACATAGTAAAGTCTCAAACGAGCTTTTAAAGTTAAAAAAGAATTCTTAGTGTGGTGGCCTGGCTTCTGAGTTATAAGAAGCATTTACTGTCATTGATAGATAAAATGAGGGGTATATATATAAAAAAATAAAAATTCTGTCATGAAGAACATTTAAGCATTTTAAATTTTTAACATTTCCTAATCTATTTAAATAAGTTTGTCTGCAGTAGTGGCCTTGATAAAGGGTGGAGGGAGCCTTGCTTGGTGGGGAAGTGACTTATAGGTGTTTCTGAGGTATCTCCCTGCAGGGAGTTGGGTGCAGGGGGTGAGAGCCCTCTAATAGGTTAGTTTACAGTTCGATCTCTATAAAAATGTAAAAATATATATGTTGTGATTCCCCTCATTTATACTTTAGCATATTTAATGGGTCTGATCAGGTGTTGGGTAAAGGTATGAAGCAAAAGAGGATGACTTATAAATCCTGAAAGGGAGGGGGACCTCGTAGCTGAATTAGAGGGGAAAATGACACTATGGTGGTGCCTGGGCCACCCCTAGAGAGGAAGAGTGAATTTTCTGTCATACCTTTGCCCTCCTAAATATTGGTGATTGACTCCTGTTTTGCTGTGGAATTTTACTGAGAAACTAAAAACGTATGTGCTTATTTTTCTTTTGGACAATAATTATAGCAGAAAATGCTCCCCAGCTCTTGCAGGCATTTACCCCCCATACTCAGACAATTGTAGCAGAAATTGGAGATGACAGCTATGGTAGAAAGATTGAGAAAGAAGAGAAAGGGAAAAAGCCCACGTTACTAAGTTAATAACCAGAAGAACATCTAAATAGGGGCAGTTTTCTTACAATACCACATACTATTTCTTAAACAGAGTCATTCTGTGGTTTGTAATCAAGTGTCTGAATTCTGAATTTATAGGCCCCAGGATGGTAAGTGTGGTTATATGGTATTTAGCAATTTTGTGTGGTGTTGTGCTAAATATGGAAAAGTTAGAAAAGTATTTCGGTTCTTTTCCTTTGAGTCTACTCTAAAAGTTGGGTTGGATGACAGCTAAAAAAAAACATCAGCCTGGCAAGGGGCAATCAGGTTTATCTGCACTGGAGCTTTAATTTTGTTTGAGAAACATCTCTTTAGAATATGTCTAACCTAACTTCTTCCTTCTTGCTCGTATTGCAATCATTTCTCAAAATCTTAAAATATATTTTATACATGATGATGAATTTCCGTTCAGTATAAAAAAAAAAAAAAAAGATGTCTTATAGTTACAATCTTCTCCGGGATCAGAGATAGGGTCTATTCATAATCCCTGGAAGTTTTAAGCACAGGATGAAGGTTCACTAGCTAGGGCCTTGGGCTCTGAAAACATTTCTCGGTGTTTAGGGGCAAGAACAGACAGTAGAAAGAAGTTGGAATCTGACAGTCTGGGCTTCAAAGGTTTGTTCTGCCACTTGCTGACACAGAATTTGAGAAAAAATTCAGTGGCCTCCAACAGCCCTTTCAAATCTAAGTTTCAATGGTGGGATTGTAGATTTGATATAAAATTAAAATGTTAACACTTTCTATGCCAGATCTTACTTTTTCAGGATCCATGGTGGTTTAGAAGTTCCAAAATCAATGGTATTTTAAATTATCTTTTACTTTAGTCTAAAAGTCATACAAAGGCATTCACTACATTTCCTCAAGGGTTACACCTCATTTTTGGTCCCAAATCATATTAATGTACCTTAGTCTCCCACCATTTTTGTCACAATTGATTCCAAAAGATTTCGGACTATTTTTAAAACTCAATTTCATACTGAAAGTAAAAAGATTCATTACTGTTAATATATTAAATGGATGTACCATAGGTTCTAATAGTTTTCCAAATAAATGTTTTAAGTCAACATGGCAGAATAAGAAGAATGCGAGCTTAGTCTCAAATTGCATTTTGACCAACTGTTATCTCTGCCACTGCTAGCTGTTACTCCTTTGGAGGCAAGTTACTTATTTTTCTCATCTATTAAATGAATATAATGCTTACCTCTTATGACTACTATAAGATTAGAGATTACAAAGCATTCATAGTAGGGTCCAGCATATGATAGGAGTTCAAATTAGAACAAAAGGGAAATTGCAATATGATTTTGCTAGGTATGCAGTTGCCTAAGGTAATCACTTTGAAGGAAAAAAAATCCTTCTTTTGCACGTATAAGTTGTGGTTTTTTAAAGCATTGGTTTTATTTCCCTAAGGTTAAATTGACTATAAACTCTTGAGACCTTCTAAGATGAATATTTTCTAAGTTCACACATTTCTAGTCATGTATTCTTTACCAATTCAACAATACTATTAATCATACTCATCACTGCAGTTTATTCAGATTGTTCCCAGATAAGGAGCTTCAGAGAGTGTTACCAAGTTGGCATATTCCCTCCCCTCCCAAGCACAACTCCTCAGAACGACTGAAATGCTAATGCTAGACAGATATTCTTACCATAAAAATATATGAATAACAGTACCATAAAACAATAATAAAGCTGTGCTTATGATGTAACGTTGACAACTACTCTCTCCCTGACCCCAAGTTCCTAGCCTTTACACTGGTCATTACTGGTCCTGAGGATGGTAGAGAAGGTAGAGGTTCCTCCCCTGGAGGTTTCTTTCTTCTGTGGCTGCAGTCTGTCCTGTGTGCTATTTTCTTGGTTCCAGAGAACATTGAAGAGCTGCTCTCTTCACTCAGCCCTGTGCTTGTCCATCTTTTCTGACAAAGCCCTCTCATTGGATGGGTCCTTATATGGTTTTTTCTTTCTCTCTCACATTCACTATCATTCTCATGATCACCATTTTCCTTAGCTCACCAGTCATCTTGGTTTCCCTTTGTTCACACCTCTCAGTCTCTGCCCATTATATCCTCTCTATGGCACGTTATTAGAGTCATGTCACCACATTGGTTGAATATCTACCACATTTCATGACATAACTTTCTAAGTGATATGAGTGAGGTGTGTGCAAAAGTTTTAGAAAGGAAAAAAGGTGAGAAAATAATTAGTTTGGCCTATAGAAACCTAGGAAGATATCACAGAGGAGCCAGGACTTGACAGATGATTAAGCTCAGCGCAAAGAGAGAAGGGAATGGGATTTCAGGTGGAAGGAATGAGAAAATCAATGGCAAGAAAGCAGGAAAATCCATAGAATCAGGAAAAAATGTCCACTATGAGTCACCTGTTGAATGTGTGGTAGAGAGTAACTGAGGATGAAACTGGGAAGGGAAGTTGGGATCAAATCACAAGGAGCTAAATAGAGCTGTTTATGGAGTTCACATTTACACTGTTGGCTATAGGAAGTCACCAAAAATGTTAGACATGGCAGTGACATGATAGAGCTGCAATTTTAAAATAAATGTTTTAGCACAATGGGGGCAAAATAGAAAAAACAGA